AGTTATTAAAACTTATTGGCCTAAATGGTTTTATGACAATAATGAAATCACTAATCTTTATTTTTATATTTATTTTATATTTTCCTTTGATTTTAGTATAATGCATGAATGATTTCGAAATTTTTATATATATAATTCATTATAATTCAGAAAATGTTTAATACGTGAACAAAAAAAGGACATAATAAAATATACATTTAAAACTTGCGAATGTAGCAAATTAAATTATTTCTTTTTATTTAAAATTTGCAGTAATTGGTAGACCTAGGAAAAGGTATCACGTCTTTAATATTATCTAAACCGGTAATATATAACAAAAATCTTTCAATTCCCATACCAAAACCTCCATGAGGAAAACTGCCATACTTTCTCAAATCCAAATACCATTTATAATCATCTAAAGATGACCCTTTAATTAAAATATTATTTTCTAAAAGGGAATAACGTTCTTCTCTTAAACTACCACCGACCAATTCACCAATTTTGGGAAGTAATAAATCAGTACAAGCGACAGTCTTATTATCATCATTGAAACGCATATAAAAAGGTTTTATTTCTTTTGGATAATTAATAATGAATAAAGGAGAATTACAATAATTCGTGGATAAAAATTTCTCATGTTGAGATTGAATAGGAGAACCAAAGGAAATATCAAAAGAATTTTTCGAAAGAATATTTATAGCATCGTTATAAGACATTGTGATAAAAGGAATTTTTAAAGTATTTTCTAATCGATTTAATAAATTATCATCAATAAATTGATTAAAATATTCGAGATCATGATAAGAATTATTTAATAAAAATTGTATAACGTATTTAATTGAATTTTCAATAAAATCATTTAAATCTTTTAAAGAATCAATAAAAGAGATTTCGCTTTCTAACATCCAAAATTCTGATAAATGTTTTGATGTCAAAGATTTATCGGCTCTAAATATTGGACCGATTGAATACACGCGTGAAATGGAAGAAGAAATTGATTCTGCATGTAATTGACCTGATACTGTTAGATATACTGGTTTACCAAAGAATTCTTCAGAGTTTACCGTCGTAAGTTTAAACACTTCTCCACCACCTTCACAATCTGATGTTGTTATAATAGGAGTATGAACCTGTATAAATTCATTTTTCTTTTTTTTTTTTTTTTTAAAAAAAAAAAAATGATAATAATAATTTTATTAATTTACTTTCTTTTTTTTTTAAAAAAAAAAACAAAGAAAAAGAAAAGGTACCTGAAAAAATTCTTGAAAACCTAATATAGTAGAATTTCTTACACGTAAAATCGCACTAAAAATATTTGTTTTAAAACGTAAATGAGTCATGTCACGAAGAAACTCCATTGAATGATTTTTCTTTTGTAGTGGATAAGTCTAAATGAATAAAGAACAAAAAACATTTTAATGATTTTAATTTGAAAAACAAAAATATCTATTCAACGTATTAAGATGCTTACAGAATCACATTCGCCTAAAATTTCAACCTTATTAACTTGTAATTCTTTATTTTGCTCCTTTCCAATACTATCAACTAACACACCATGTAATCTAACACAAGTACCAGTAGTTAACCTAAAAAGTAAAAAGGATTTTTTTTTAAAACATTACTGAAAAAAAAAAAAAAATATGTTGAAATACCAACAAAAAGATTTTCTTTTTTTTTCATACTTTTTAGCGTCTTCATTTGAAAGTATAGCTTGTAAACCTTTTAAACTTGAGCCGTCGTTAATAGAAGCAAAAGAGACATTTTTCTGTATCCTTACAGTACGTATCCAACCATTTACTTGTATTTCTACACCTGAAGGAGTATATGATATTATATTTTTTATTGTTTTTGTTGGTAATATATTTGATATTAGAACATTATTTGAAGAGAATCGTTTATGATTATAACGAAATATTTTTAATTTATTCAGTTTTTGACAATTCCGTTTGATAAAACAAAACATTTTTTTTTGTCTTTTTGACCGCGTGAAAAAAATTTGCTGATAATGATTATCTGAAACTGATCATGTGATCTACGATCATTTTCTAAGTCATCATTTTACAAGACGGTCATGATTTGTGGGATTTGTTTAACCGCCAAACTATACTTTATCATTAAAAGAAGGTAAATTTATTGAGTTTTCAATAAACCTTTTGCCAAAGCAATTTCAGCATTTAAAATACCGCTCCCAGCGGCACCTAAAATAGTGTTATGTACTAGTAAAGTAAACTTAATATCAAACACGTTACATTTCCTAACTCTACCAATGGTAACGCTGTAACCATCGCCATTATTTCTATCTAACCTAGGTTGAGGTCTATCATCGTCATTACGGATAATGATGCATTTATTCGGAGCAGAATGACAGCCGATTTGTTGAGCCTCGCTTACGTAAGAATCCAGTACATTGATGATTTCTTGTGGGGTAGGGGGAGGTTGATTTTTAAATTTAATGGAAACACATTCGGTATGACCATCAATCACGGGTACTCTATTGCATGTAGCCGAAATATTTGTAGAATCAAGCAATTTACATTCCGTTTGATCCGAATTTAAATCCCCTAAAATTTTTAAAGTCTCATATTCCATCTTTTCTTCCTCTCCACTGATAAATGGTATTACATTATCAAATATATCTAATGATGATACTCCCGGATATCCCGCCCCTGATATCGCTTGCATCGTTTGTACAATGATCGTTTCCAATGGTCCAAATGCATCCTGTAATGGTTTTAATGCTACTACAAGTCCCGTGGTAGAACAGTTTGAATTCGTCACTAAAAAACCTTTTTGAAGTGTGTGAATGGATCTCTGATGTGGTATCAGATTAAAATGTGCCGGATTCACCGTTGGAACGATTAATGGAACTATAGGATCTCTTCGATAATTCTTTGCATTAGAAAAAACCACCAAATCTGCTTTTAAAAATTCCATTTCTATATGACGAAAAAAAAAAAATTTTTTTTTTTACTTGGAGAAAAAAAAAAAATGAAATGAAATGAAGGATCTCATTTGACTTACCAATTTCACCGGCAACATCGGAATCTAAACCGGAAAATATTACTTCACAGTCCCCAAATAATTCCGCTTTACATACTTTAACGACCATATTTTTAACTTGCTCAGGTATATCGCCTGTGATTTTCCATTTTGTAGCTTCAGAATATTTTTTACCAGCTGAGCGTGAAGAAGCTCCAACGGAATGAATGATAAATTGTGGATGTTTTGATAATAATTCTATAAAACGTTGTCCAACTGTTCCGGTCGCCCCTAATATGCCAACCTTAACTTTTGTCATCTTTTTTGAACCTTTTTTTTAAATTTTTTTTTATATATATATATATGCTATCCATCTTTGTAGTACAAATGTTCGGATAAAAATATTTAAAATGTCCAATAGAATTATAGAATATTTTTGATAAAAATGATGCTACAAAATTCATCTTTACATAATATTAAGCATAAAATCATTTTTATTCCTTTTTTATCTCATGTTAATAAATTTATAACAAGAAATAAAATGTTACAAGCAACCGAAAAGGAATACCTTGACCCCACAATAACAGAAGATACAACTACTCCCTCTTCTGATAATACCAAACTTAAAAAGGATTGGTCCAGCGTTAGAGATATTCGTCAAGAGACGAATACTTTTGGTACTCGTTTATTGGAAAATAAGGATGATGTATGGCATCATAATGCTTGGTAAGAGACAACGAATCAACTTTATTTAGATTAAATTGAGTGAAATTATATATATATATATACATATGATAATTAAAAAGGGATCATGTTGAATGGAATGAAGAACAAGAAAAAGCCGCTAAACAAAAGGTATCATTGCAATCAAATAATCCAATGAAATTAGAAGATCGACGTAAGCTAAACGAATGGACCTTTTTTTTTTCCCCAAGAAAAAAAATTTTAATTTATTTTATCTTATTTTATTTTTTTTTTTAATAATGAATATTATAAAATCAGAAATATTTTTAAAAAATCCATCGGAATATTGGAATACGTTTTATAAACACAATGAGAATAAATTTTTTAAGGATCGTCAATGGTTAAAAATCGAATTTCCCGAATTACATCACACAACAAATAGTGAAGTAGGTCTCTTAATTTTTTTTTTTTAAAAAAAAAAAAAATTATTTTAATAATTTATTATTTTTTTTTTTTTTGATTTAAAGAGTGGAAATCAAAAAATTTTTGAAATAGGATGTGGAGCGGGGAATACAATGTTTCCTTTACTATCTATTAATAAAAATCCAAATTTATTTATTTATGCTTGTGATTTTGCAGAAAATGCTGTCCAGGTGGTTAAAGTTAAGTGTTATATTTATTTATATGTATGTTACATATTTTCTATTTTGTCTCAACTTTTTTTAATTTTAGAATAACAAAGAATATGATCTAAAACATTGCAAAGCATTTGTCTGGGATTTGACAAATAAAGGAATTCCAATGGAACATATTGAACCTAATAGTTTAGATATTGTTGTGTTAATATTTGTAATGTCTGCATTATGTCCTAATGATTGGGTCCAAGCGGTTGATAATGTTTATAATATGCTTAAGCCGGGTGGTCTTGTACTGTTTAGAGGTATTGATCTCATTTATAAAAAAAATGTTACTTATAATATTTTTCGGTAAATTTTTTTTCCTCTCGATTTAGATTATGGTAGATATGATATGGTACAATTAAGATTTAAAGAAGGTCGTATGTTATCCGATAATTTTTATGTCCGTGGAGATGGTACAAGAGTTTATTTTTTTACTTCAGGTTGGTGGATAATATATGTGTACGTTTTAATGTTTAATTGACAAATCATGTTCCTAACATTTTGATTCTTAAAAGACGAAATTGAAAAAATTTGGGGATCAAAATTTTCAATTGAACAAAATGCTGTGGATCGTCGATTAATTGTAAATAGACATCGTAAATTACAAATGTATAGAATATGGTTACAAGGAAAATTTAGAAAATTATCCTCTTCATAACATTTTATTTATTCACCTTAAGGAAGATAAACATAAGCTGAAGCATAGCTAACACTATTTTCTCCCTCGTGTTTTACTTGATTAGACTGTGAATAATGAATAAATTTAATCCTTGGTTGTTCAGCTGTATCATTGTCATAACCTTTTTGTAATGTTTCAATTGCACATAAAAGTATTCCAACGGGATGCCTTCCACATATTGTATTCTTTGTTTTTGAAAGGTATGAGACATACCCTTTATGATCTATCTTTTCAATAAAATCCATTCCTTCTCTATCAAGTTTTTCAATGGACTTATATATTGGAATTGGTAAATTCTTATTAGGTACGCGTGTAAGATTAGAACTATTCCCTGGCGATGCTGAATAATATTTGTATGAAAATCGAGGTCCCCTAATTTGATTAAAGAAATATATAAAAATATATATTTCATTTAATTTAAACGTGTTTTTTTTTTTTTTTTTTTTAAAAAAAAAAAATAAGGAAAAAAGGATTTACCAGTGACAAAAATCCGTCGAAATGATAAACAGATTAGACGGATCAGCAAGGTATGGAGCAAATAAATCTCCATAAAATGATTCTTTGGCTGCATTCAAAGATCCAACCATAACAGGAACAATCTTAATTGAATCAACCTTACTAAAAGATTTATTTTTTTAAAAAAAAAAAGTAAAAAGAAAAAAGGTTAAAAAGTCAAATAAGATTAAAATGATTAAAATATACGAAGACGAACATAAAACCTTTCCAAAATTTTATAAGTATATGGTAAATGCATCTCAATACTATGTTCTTCCTCTTCAACATCTTGAGACACCGATATAAATTCCCCGGTTTTTTTCAATTCTTCGATAACTATTACAAAGCAAATAAATAAAATAAATCCAATTAGCATATTTTATTACAATCTAAATAATATAAATATCAAGAAATTCTTTTTTTAACATTTACTTTCAGTGTCTAACATCAAATTTCCTAAAGGTGTTTCATATTGGGTACATTGAGAAAGCGCGCATTTGGTAAGGCTAAAATGATGCGATGGTCCAAATATGAAAACACGTTTCCTAAATTAAAGATCAATATTAGATTGAAAGTAAGTTTTGTTTGGCAACATTAAAATAAATCTGTTTTCTTACACAAAATCGGGATCAATGCTCTTATAAGCGAATGCTGCGGCTTGTCCGCTCCACATATATCCTGCATGTCTAAAGGTCATAAATTCAAATTTAAAAAAAGAGGTGATACTTTTATCATTTTAAATAAAGAATTCAAAAAAACTTACGGAGCAATAATAGCTCTAGCTCCAGGTACGGGAATAGGGACATCGTCTTCTATCTTTTGTGGAACGTTATCTAACCACTGAGTAAGTTCCTCATTTAAATGAGGTCCTTTTAAAATTTACAATGTAAAAGGTATAAAATTTTTCGTTCTTAAAAAAAGTCTCAGATTTTTAATTACCGAAAGAAAGACTGTTGTTTCTTATTATATAAAAGTATCTATATATTATGTTTACCTTGCTCGGTGTACCAAGAACCAGCGTGACAAGCCTTTCTGCTCATTGAAATAATGGAAGTAAGTTGGGTGATTTTATTAAAAAAGAATACCGAAAAGTTTGTATCAATTTGCTTACGTTATATGTAGACCAGCAAATTCAATTTTTTGGTTAGTTTAATTGCTAAATGAAGTTTAGACATGTCCATATGCTTATGCTTCAAAATTTATTACATAACGAAAAAATGATTTTATTTCCGAAAATATTTTCCTAATCTAAATCTGGTTAGATCGATAATTGATTGTTTACGTAACTTTTTTTTTAGGTTCGCTGTGGGTGCAGTAAATATTTCGCGCTTCGGACGATTATAGTTTTTGGGATTGCTTAAGGGAATCTTCAACAACTATAGAGGCCTTTAGTTACACTAGTTTACTTGTTTTTTAAGTTTCTACTTATAATGCGAATTGATTTAGAGATAATAAAAACCAATTAATACAATTGAAAACTATAATTTTTCAGTCTGAATTAATAAAAAATCAATACAAGTCAAAAAAAAAAAAAAAAAGGTTATTTGTTTAGTAATGGTAATCTACGTCGTCACTTTCTTCATTACCTTGCCCTAATAAATCTCGGAACTATCCTACGTTCCAAACTTAATTGTTATTTCTTGGGTAATGAAATGTTAGGGATTGGAGTAAATCTTTTGAACAAATTGAACGCGCGTTAATTGTGGTCGAGTCCATAATATTCGTTAAAGAGTTGCAAAACAACTTAGATTTTGTGTACCTTAGAATGTATATGCACCTAATATTATTATGTAAAGTTCATTTATAACGTCTGAACAATAAAGATAGAATTGATAGAATATGTAATCTATTATCTTATTTTCTAGTTAGATCTTAGGCAAAATTATTTTTATTTATAATTAAATTGCTATTAATTTATCTTATTATTTTTGGAGATGAATGGCAAATATAAATGCAAATCCCATATTAAAACTTTCATTAATCCAATGTCTAATATCTAAAGGGTACATGCATTCATGCCTTTAAGATTTGAACAAGTAACTCATTTGAAGTCAAAACAAAAACTTCCAATAAGATTACTTGCGATTTCTCATCGATTCAAATGCTTTAGCACGAAGTTGTTCGAGTTGTTCAAGATCGGAATTAGATTTCTAATCAACAATGAAGAAACGACTTGTTTATTGATTTTCTTGTTGTCTACAAAAATTTATTTTGCCAAATGTACCTTTTTGCTTTCCACGCTTTCTTCTTCATCTTCATCATCGTTCCACTTGGATTTGAAATATGGACCATCTACTACTTTTTTACGAATGGGCGAATTTGGTGTAGTAGTATTATTATCTTCTACTAATTCAACAGTCCTTTTCTTTAAATCATCATCTGTAACTACAACATCTTTACGATTATTTTTTTTGGGAGATAATACGTGACTATTTCTATCTATAGATTCTTTTGAATCCTTAGATAAGCGCCGCCGCTTACTCGGTTCTCTACTTCTACTACGAGTTCTCTGACGTTGTCTACGTTCTTCCTGCCTTCGCTTTTCTTTACTTCTACTTCTACTTCTACTACGCCTATTATTTTTATGTCTTCGATGTTCCCTACTATGATCTCCACCACGATTCCTACTATGATCCCTACTTCTACTATTACTCCTCCTGTGGGAACGTCGTCGCCTGTCTTCTTCACTTTTACTGCGACTATATCTCCGTCGTGAACTTCTGCGAGGCCGTCTAATTTCATCTCTACTTCTACTACGGTGACGGCTCGATCTGTGTTCACGTTCCTATAAAGATTTGCTTGTAAGACAAATGATTTTCCATGAAACGATAGAAATACAAAATTGTCTCCCTCCTTTTTCCTAACTAATTACTTTGCTAATTAACTTGATTAATAAAGCATACCTTTCTTTCGCGTTCTTCCCTTCGCTCTCTTTCTCTTACATCTCGCAGTTTTGTCCTTTCCTCCTCCTCTTTTTCACGTCTTTTTCGAATTTCTAATAGAATTCGTTCATCCTCTTCCTATTTAATAGGCATTAAATTATTTTTATTAATTTAATGTAAACATTAATAAAGTTTTACATCTAATAAAGAATTGTTTAAAATTCACCTGCTTCTTACGAATCTGTTCCATTTTTTGTTCAAGAAAAATTGCTGGAATACCATTTTCACCTTCCTGAGCTGATAAAAGTAATTGCCATAATTCTGTAACAAAAATTGGTGCGTCTGTTTCCAAGAAGCCGGTAAGATTAATTTGCATCATCCTTGGATCCAAATCCTAAAATAAAAAAGGTAATTAATTTACGAAATACAAAAAATAGTTGCTTGTAGAGAAAATGATCAACTAACTGGTTCTTCTAATAATCCAAACACATAATTGACGACTACTTCATCTTCACCACCCAATAACTCTACGATTTTTTGCGCGACCCACGGCCTAATAACATTTAAGTTCACTTTTTTCAAGTCAACCTAATAATCGAATGCAGTAGGAAATAAAAAGAAGGTTGAAAAATAATTTGAGCGAATTGTGAAAATAATAATTAAGACAAATTTTGTGCATTTATCCATTACCACTTTCTCTCTATCAAAGAAAGGACGAAAAGAAGTACTGCCAAGTATAATAATAACAGTATAACAATAAAACAAACAAATGATTTTTTTCTGAAGAATTAAACTTAAATTCACAGAAACAAAAAAAAAAAATGAAAATCTAAATTGCCTTCAATGGCGATTGATTTTGAAATACGGCCAATAACTGCTGCTGATACAAATGCTTTCAACAAAGAACTGCCTTCGCCTTAAGAGATTGTACAGGTAGCATAGAATCAAAAAGTAAACTAAAAATTTTTTGTTTTTTTTTTTATATTTGGATAAGATCATTGGAAAAATGTCTAGGAAAAAAACTTCGCCGAATAGGGTAACCATTCAATGAGGTTCGACTTATATATCTCAAAGCGTTGAAGAGCAAATTGTCCAACAACAGGTTAAAAAGGGTGTAGAATGTAGACATAAATTACAGAGAATAAAGAATTAAATAATTGAAATTACCTTTAAATTGAACTCTGAGGGAAAATTCATACTCTTCAATAATTTTTTCTGTTTATCAGAAAATCGGCTGTCTTGCTCCAAACTCGTACCCTATTTAGATCGCAAAAAAAAAAAAAAAAACAAAATCAGCTGAAGTTATTTCAGTAGATCGGACAGCACCATACAAAATTCTAACCTTGAAAAAGCCTCCATCTCCCATCTTAATAGAAATTAGTATAAAGATTTATAAGTTTCGTTTTTAAAAAAAATAATGAACGAACTTTCAAAATAAGTCAACCCAAATGATCTACTGTACAACAAAAGGTATTTTATGATGTCATCTTACGAGTCATGTATGATTGGTTAAGATAAATTGCATTAAAAATTATGTAATGTAGTCACTAATTCCGTTTTACTTAGATATTTTTCTTATTATAATCTTATTAAATTCTTATTATAAATATTAAAAATTATAAATAATTATAATATAATTATTTTTTAAATTAGAAAGGAGAGAAAATTTATTTGTATTATCTTATTATCAAATTTTACTAATTATTTTTATGAAATTGAAGGATAATATTGAAGAAATTAAGTTATAAATTCAAAATATTTTTTATTTAGAAGGTTGTTATATATCTAGTATTTATTGTAGATCAGCTCAATAATACTAACTCTTTATTTTGCAAAGATAAAAAGATTGATAAATTTTAGGTTATGTGTATAAGAAAAAAGTTAATGCTGAAATTAAATAAAAAAAAATAAAGAAAAATCTTTAAAAGTAAAACTTGTTTTTATAAAATACTTTATTGTCAATAAAAAAAAACTTTATATAAGAAAAATTAAAAAAAAAATTATTCAAAAAACATCTTTTTTTATATTCAATTAGAAATTTTATCAAAAAAAAAAAAATTAGCAAAATACTATTTTTTTAAATTTATATAAAAAGATATTTTATTCTTTTAAATGAAAATTTTGTAATAATATAAAACCTTTGCAATAAAAAGAGAGAAACAGCCAAAAAAAAAATAAAAGATGAGTTAATGCTAAATTTAAACATATAGATATTTTATAATAGAAGAAAGAAAACTATCAAAAAAATTTTTTTAAAGTTAATATTAAATCTGGATTTATTTTACTAAAAAAAAATAATATTTAATTTATAAAGAAAAATTTTTTTGATAGTTTCCTTCCTTTTTACTACAAAATGCTTATATTTTAATCTAAAAATCATATTTAAAATATAAAAGTAAAATTGATTTTTTCTAGTTATTTCTTCTTTTCTATTGCAAAGGTTTTATATAATTCTTATTAATTATATAATCCAAAAAGTTATTTTATGTTATTATAAATTTAGGAAAATTTTTATTCAAAGATAAGGTAAAATAATATTTAAAAAATAAATTAATCTAAAATCTAATATTATTAATAGAATTTTATATATAAAAGTTAAAATTTGGCTTTTTGCAAATACTTTGATATGTCTTTATAAAAAAAATCAAATAATTAAAAAATTCAAAAAACTTTTGGTATAATAAATATAAATAAAATTTATCAAATATATTATTTTTTACTAATATATTTTTAAAGACGATTTTTATTTGTACACAGTGTGTGTGGATACACATCATGTGATTATAATAAAATCACGTGTTTTCAATTACAATAAGATCATGTGTTTTTCGATTACAATAAGATCATGTGTTTTTCAATTACAATAATATCACGTGTTTCTTCGAAAAAGATTTTTTTTTTTATATTAAGACTAACAAATCTTAGTGAACCAAACTGACTAAATGGACCCAACTTTAATAAATCTAACAAGTTAAAAGAAGCTTGAAAATTATTACCAAAAAACCAAGACTTTTAGCAAATTCTTTATTTGTATGTTTCACCAAACAAATAAAACTTACATGAATCATTAAATTTTGCATTACAGCGTTATTCAGTTCCAACTATTGCTTCAACAAACTAACAAACCAAACGAACCCAAAAAATCCTAAGATTACAACACCTCAGCTTCGCAAGTTTTAGCATAATATCCATATTTTTTATATTTTCTGCACTTACGCCTTTTTATATTGATCATATCGCCACTACCCTCACCTTCTGCATTTATTTCATTGTTATCTATTATATTGATATGTGTGCTGTTTCTTAATACCTGTTTACCTTTAGATAATGATTGTTCAACATTAAACTTCAACCTTTTTGATGGACAGCCTTTATATTTGGTTATATTCAGATTATTGACATCAGTAATATAATCCCTAGTTTGATTTTTGTCAATTTTGTTCTGTATGTCATAAAGAAAATTTTTGAACATATCAGACAGCTCCTGATACATATCAGCTTTAATAGCTGATCGATAACTTTTTTTGATAATCCAAATAATTCTGCATATTTAATCTTGTTTGACTTTATCATTGTTAAATAAGGATTGCATATCGTAGATCAAATGGAAAATAAATGCTTAAATGTACTGTTAGGTATAGAAAGATCTTCCGAATTAGAACATAATATGATGGCCGATAGTTGTTGTATAAGAGCTTCTTGTTCAATATTAGACTCAAGGTACCAGCGAGGTAATATAAGAGTAATGTAAAAAATCGCTGTTTGAGAATAAGTCATGACACGAAAAAAATGGCGACATATTAAGCCTTTATTAATTAATAAAAAGTAAGTACACAAATGTGTACCGTCGTTTAATAATACCACATAATGTCTGATGTCTGATGTTCCTGTAGCCCGAACATGCCATACTTCCAAAACAATTTCTTAAACATCCTTAATCAATGATTTGAAAAGAACTTGTTGAATATCTTATTCTTGTTCCCACAGTCCAATATTAACCTCCTCCCTATCAACATCCATCTATAAAAAAATAGGTTATTAATATTAATCTTCTATGCCAAATATAAAAAAGAATAGCTTTATCAACTTACTTCTAATAGTTGTTACCAGTCCATTATATGATTGATATCATAGCATACCGATTAGTTCATCTGTGACCGCTTCTTTCCTAATATAATAGAGATTAAATATTGTTTAATAATACCGTCCGCCTGTTCAAAAAATCTGCTACATAACATTGGTAACCCAACATTTGGTAAAGCATTACGCTCAATTTTAAACTTTTCAAAATGCTTCTCCTCCTTAACATAATCGTTAATTTTAACCACTAAATTGCATAAAGAAGTAGACCGATCCATTTTATCATGTATTTGCTTATTAATAGATTCGATTCTTTGTGTACTTTGCACGCTGGCAGTAAATTGGTTGCGTATCCAAGGGTGGCCTACGATTCTTTATTAATATAAAGCGTTTCTACCATATATTTGGCAGATTCAGGATATTGATCGATTAATTGTACCCATCGAGATTCAAATAATTTCTTATATAAGGAATTTCTACAAGCATAAATTTGCGCCGAAATTCTTCAAAGCAAGCTCCTAATTTACTCTTAAGTTTCTTACATAGATTCAAGTCAATATGGAAGATACATAACAAATGTTTTGTATCGGTATGTATTTTCTTAATTGCACCAATTAAGGACAGATCTGAATCAGTAAATATAACTTTGGGATTAATACCTGTTTCTTCAAATAACGTTATTAAAATCTATCGAAAGGTATCTAGCATTTCATCTTCTACAATAGCGGAAGCTACGATTCTTATCTTGAAATGATTATCAATGACAACAATGACACAAAGCATCATTCAGAACTGATTTGTATTTGATGTGGTATCCAAAATTTTGACATTATGGAAACTTTCATATAAGGTTCATTGTACCGGTAACATCTATAATAAACGATTCAACTTTCTAGATGAAGGGTCTAAGCATAGTTTGACAACCCACAATGGTTCTGAATCTTTCCAATTTAATAGCATTTGGAGCATTTGAAATGCATCTGTATCACCCAGATTATTTTTAAGCCAAAACTAATATACTGCATTATATAAATCTTTTTTAAAAATATTATGGTTAGGATAATCATATCTAAGTAACGGATAAATAGTAGAGCTTTTCACCGAATTACCCTATGGATAATATAGGATAATCCGTTTGAAAATTTTGAGATCCGGTTATCCTATTAAATAGAATAATGGGTAATCTGAATAAATAATTCTAGAATAATCTGAATTATCCTTGGATAATATTGATCATTTATTAAAATTAAGTAATGATAATCATTACTAAATATTGCGTAGTTTGAACTTAAATAATATTATCATTTAAAGGTCATTTATGTCATTTGACGTCATTTAAGTAATTACATAAGTCATTTTATATAAACCAAATAAATAATTTGATAAATTAAAAAATTAAAATAGACGAAATAAGTTTTTTAGTAAATGTTGGTATTGAGGTAAGTAATTTTGAACATTTATTTTTTAAAAAGATAACTAAAATGAATACTTTATCCTTATTATAGATACCAGATTCTTTAAGCTTAGATCATTCAGAGGTAAGACCTATGATGAAAATTATTAATGTTAATTTTTTCTTAAAAAAAAAATTACTAAATTGACTTTCTTACCTTTTTGTAGATACCGTCTTCAAGATTTGGATCATTTGGAGGTAAGCTCTATAAAGGAAAACTTTAATGTTTAATGTTAATGTTAAATATTTTTTAAAAAGATTAATAAATTCAATTCCTTACCTTTTTGTAGATACCGCCTCCAAGCCTTGGATCGTTCAGTGGTAAGCCCTATAAAGGAAAAACTTTAATGTTAACGTTAAATATTTTTTTAAAAAAGATCAATAAATTCAATTCTTTACCTTTTTGTAGATACCGGATTCTTCAAACCTTGAGGTAAGCCCTATGATGGAAATAATTAATATTAATTTTTTTTTAAAAAAAATACTACAATATTAAATTCCTTACCTTTTTGTAGATACTGGATTCTTTTCTTTCGGAGGTAAGTCTATGATGGAAAAAATTTAATTTATTTTTTTTATAAAAAAAGATCACTAAATTAAATTTCTTACCTTTTTGTAGATATCGGATTCTTCAAGCCTTGGATCGTTTGGAGGTAAGCCCTATAAAGGAAAAACTTTAATGTTAACTGTTAATGTTAAAATATTTTTTAAAAAAGATCAATAAATTCAATTCCTTACCTTTTTGTAGATACCGGATTCTTCAAACCTTGGATCATTCGGAGGTAAGCCCTTTAATGGAATTAATTAATGTTAGTTTATTTTAAAAAAAATCC